AAGCCACAGAACCGGCTAAGACCCACTACAGGAGTGAGTGAAGGTGAAGACAAGAGGCCCAAAGACAGAGCCTCGAGTCAACTGTCATTCAAAGCTGGTAGAGGGGGAGGAAAGTGAAGGAGCCTGAAAAGGAACAGCAGTGCAGGACAAAAACCAGGGAAAGTGGCATCAGAGAAGTACAGACAAGAAGCTTCTTCAAGAAGGAGGAAATGGCCAAATGTGTCAAATGCCCAGAGACCGAGTAAATGAGGCTTGAGAATTGACCTTTGACTTCAGCAAGATGTAGGTGACGTGGACAAGAGCCATTTCATGGGGACAAAGGGCTGACTGGAGCAGGGTAAAGTGACAACGGGAGGGTTTCTCTAAGACAGGTCATGGGACACAGTGATGCACATGTGATAATGATAAAGGTCCAGTAATGAGGGAGAGATAGCTGATGCAGGAATAACTGCAGGAGTGAGGTCCTGAGAAGCTTGGAGAGGGGGAATCCAGCTGGAGGTGTGGAATGCAGTTTCCACTGTAGTCAGAGGTGGTGGTGGGGATGCGGGCAGAATTGGGTGGTTCTTGTGTGATGGCAACCAATTTTCCTCTGAAGTCTGTGGTGCCATCACCACCTGAAATTGAGGTTGGGAGATTAGAGTAGAATTAGTCATCTCAAGAGTGAGGAAGTAAAGCTTCTAAGGCATCGAGGGTCCAACTTGAGATTTTTTTTTTTTTGTGGTACGCGGGCCTCTCACTGTTGTGGCCTCTCCCATTGCGGAGCACAGGCTCCAGACGTGCAGGCTCAGCGGCCACGGCTCATGGGCCCGGCCACTCCGCGACATGTGGGATCTTCCCGGACCGGGGCACGAACCCATGTCCCCTGCATCGGCAGGCGGACTCTCAACCACTGCACCACCAGGGAAGCCCTGAGATTTTTTTTTTAGTAAATTTATTTATTTTATTTATTTATTTTTGGCTGTGTTTGGTCTTCGTTGCTGCGCCCGGGGCTACTCTTCATTGTGATGCGTGCTCTTCTCATTGCAGTGGCTTCTGTCGTTGTGGAGCATGGGTTCTAGGCGTGCAGGCTTCAGTAGTTGTGGCACGTGGGCTCAGTAGTTGTGGCTCGTGGGCTCTAGAGTGCAGGCTCAGTAGTTGTGGCGCTTGGGTGTAGTTGCTCTGCAGCATGTGGGATCCTCCCGGACCAGGGCTTGAACTCGTGTCCCCTGCATTGGCAGGCGGATTCTCAACCCCTGAGCCACCAGGGAAGCCCCCTCGCTTGAGATTTGTAGTTTTGATTTGGAAGTGAGTCCAGTTGCACAGGTGTACTGGTTCTTGAGCAGAAGTTGGTTCCAACCAGGGTTTGGGATTTTTCCAGTTGAGTACAATGGACGCAGAAAAGGGTAAAGGAGTTGGATGCAGGGCAGTGATTATCAGGAGGGATCCAGGACTCCAAGCTGGGTAAGGGCAGTGAGGATGTAGCTGACGGCACGGCAGGAGGCTAAGGCCAATGGCTTGGAGGTTTCAGTGGGCTCAGAATCCCTGGCGTGGGGCTAATAACAGTACCTGAGCTGGAGGAATGGAGGTGATGGTCAGGGGGTGGGAGGGTTGAAATTACCAGGGATGACAAGATCAGGTGTGTCCACTTGAGGGTGTGGCCGAGGTGTGGCTGGGAAGAAGCTGTTGGAATCAAGGAGGGCCTCTGAATTCTCTGAGCTTCTCAGCCCCTCCCAACCTGCGAGTCAGAGAGCAACCTCCTACTGGGGCGGGAAGGGGTACACCTCTTCATTGTGCAAACAGGGGCTGAGGCCTGAGGATGCTGGATGCTGAAGCTAAAATGTCAGAGGCTGGAGTTCTGACTCTGAGTCCTGGGGTGAGGGAGGATTCTTGGTGTCATTCTTCCTCCCAGCTTGCACAGCAGCAGGGCTCCTTTCTCCTCCCCCTTCCTCCCGCCTCCCGCCTGCTCCCTGCCTCACAGATTTTCCTGCACTGCCCAGTCCTCCGGAGAGCCCCTGCAGACAGAAGGGCACGTCCACAGCCACAAGGAGCGCCTTCTTGAAGGTAACCAGGCTGCATGTGGCATTGAAATGCCTGTGGCAGACTTTCACATTTGTTCCCTCACTCACTTAGGTAATCATTCATTCACTGGTTAAGTGATTTCACCTTTCGGTTGTTCTTCATTAGGTCTGAGCTGCTAAAGCAAGCTCAAGGGATGAATTCTCAGTCGCCGTGAGACTGCTCATCCACCCAGTCCGCCAGCCAGACGTCCGACGTGCACTGGGTGCCCGTCACTGTCCTGCATAAGTGTGACATACAGGCATCACGTGACCTCACACGTCTGGCAGGTCCCATGTCCATCGCTTATCTATTCCCTGGGTCCTATACGTGTGTGTGTGCCACATCTGAATCTGAATTCTTTGAGCCTCTTCCTCATAGCAGGGCTGATAATACATGAATCGCCATCGATCAAAGTTCATGTGATGAATCTTCATTAACTTCTAAAGCCGCCTATATTTTCCATTAGAGAGATCTTTTACGTATTTGTGAAAGTCATGCTGGCTCATTGTGGAAAATGTAAACAATGACAAAGCATACAAAGTAAAAAAACCACTTCCATCCCTCCATCCCACAGTGCCAACCGCTGTTAAAAGGGTGGCAAATGTGGCTTAATTTATATCCTTCTAGATCTTTTCTATACATTTGCAAAGGGGGAAAACATATATATTATATGATGAAGTCTATGTTTACAGATTGAGATCATAGACGATTGTTCTGCAACTTGCTTTTTCTCTGCAGCAATAAATGGTGGACATCGTGCCAGGTCAGTGCTTCAGATCCACTTCATTCTCCTTAAGGGCTGCAGAGCATTCACAATATGGAGGGACCTGGTATATTTAACAGGCTATCAAGGACATTCAGGGTATTTTTCATTTACCGCCAGCTACAATGCTGCGATGGATATCTTTAAGCACTTCTTTTTTTAAACATCTTTATTGGCGTATAATTGCTTTACAATGGTGTGCTAGTTTCTGCTTTACAACAAAGTGAGTCAGCTATACATATACATATATCCCCATATCTCCTCCCTCTTGCGTGTCCCTCCCACCCTCCTTATCCCACCCCTCTAGATGGACACAAAGCACAGAGCTGATCTCCCTGTGCTACGCGACTGCTTCCCACTAGCTGTTTTACGTTTGGTAGTGTATATATATCCATGCCACTCTCTTACTTTGTCCCAGCTTACCCTTCCCCCTCCCTGTGTCCTCAAGTCTATTCTCTAGTAGGTGCATCTTTATTCCCATCCTGCCCCTAGGTTCTTCATGACTTTTTTTTTTTTTAGATTCCATGTATATGCGTTAGCATATGGTATTTGTTCTTCTCTTTCTGAGTTACTTCACTCTGTATGACAGACTCTAGGTCCATCCACCTCACTACATATAACTCAATTTCGTTTCTTTTTATGGCTGAGTAATATTCCATTGTATGTATCTTTAAGCTCTTTTGTATGAGCATTTCTGAAGGATTATTTCTAGAAATGGAATTGCTGGGTCACGTGCATTTAAAATTTTAATGGCTACCCAGGGCCAGGCATAGCGTCAGACACATAGTAGGGTCTTTGTAAGTATCTGTGGCATGAATGGATACTGCTGGATTGCCCTCCAGGAAAAACACACTATTTCCACTCCCACCAACAGCAAACAGAGAGCCACAGAACTGACGATTTCTGCTACTGGGTCCCAGCCCCACTGGGCTTCACGACAACCACTTTCCTCCAAGCCACTCTGCTGCTGCTGGGAAGGATTTAAAGACCCTATGTCACCTTCGGTGAAAGGCAGGCGGCGTCCAGGCAGAGGGTGACCTCCTCTCCCAGGTCTGCAAAGGCCATGGCTTCACATCCTCCCACTGGGGTGGGTGTTTACCAGTGAGGGCAACGTCAGCTCTGGGACTTCTGCAATGGGAACTCACCATGTTTACACAAGCACCCACATATCTTCCTTCTGCTCCCCCTTATCAACCTCTGAAACTGAAGGGAAACTTCCTATGGCTGGGCTCACTCCACTGCCAACTCTGGAACTCTATTGTCAGTAACTGCTGTTCTTCCTCTGGGGCCTCGTCTCCAGCAGGAACCCCCAGCCAGACAGCCCGTTTCTAGCATCTTTGGGGCTGGCCGTGCCATCTCCCTTCCCCTGGCCCTATCACCTGCCTGGGTCCTGATGCCCCAAGAAAATTATTGGAAGAGCCCCGGAGGAGGCCAGCACGCCGGAGCCAGTTCTATCTCTGACCCTCGTAGGAACTTTGGGCTGGCATTGCTCTGTGCCCTCTGCCTGGGGACGAAGGCTGGCATTCAGAGGCTGCCGGGAAGCAGTGCAAAGGCAAGGTCAGGTGGAGGGGCCCAGGCCTCCTGAGCCCCTAAGATGCTGGCGTGGGGGTGTCTCTCACGCTGCATGTCCCACACCAGGCTTCCAGCTCCACACGCTGCTGCAGGCCCCCGCAGGGATAACGCCCTGTGAAGACTCTACCGTGCTGCAATGGTGGGCGCCTCTCCTCTTCGGGTGCTCAACCCCGCAGATGGGGCTGAGGCGGTGGTGCCCAGAACCACGCGGGACTGGAGAAGGGCAGACCTGCTCTCTCTCCTCCCTCCAGAGATTCCAGGGTGGGGCAGATCAAGGTCTTCCAGGCCCTGGCCCAGCTCGCCTCCCCACTGCCCCCTCCCCACCCCCGTGGTGAGTCAGAGAGCTGAGCTCTATGTGTCCCGAGGGAAAGCAGCGGGAGGGTAGGATAAGGAAGCACACAATGGTCACTCCCACCCCATCCCCATTCCCGTCCGGGCTCTGTGGCACCCAGAGACCTCAAGGAACCAGAGGTCAAAGTATCTGCCAAGATCCTCTCCCGGAGGGTGGCCCACAGCACTGTCCTCCCAGGCTCATCGACGGTGGGATTTCAGGCACAGTGACCCCCCCGCCAGCCGTGTCCCCCAGCATTGCCTGGGCTCACCTCCCCACACAGTCAGAGGCAGACTCTCAGATTTAGTGAGAACTCATGTTGCAGGGGAGGGGAGTGTACAATGGGGTCTTCTCTAGTCAGGTAGAATGGAAGGCAGAGCCCAGGTAGAGCTCAGGCAGTCCTGTCTCCCAGAGTGCATCAGCGCCCTCCAAAACATCTCAGAGCTGGCTGTCCAGTCCACACTCAAACCGCCAGAGCGCAGCTCCCTCCACTCTCAGAGCACCTCGTTCCACCGCTGGGCACCTCCAACTGTTCACGTTTTCCTCCAGGCAGCCTCTACCTTGCAATGGCGGGTGAGGGAGGGGTGGACATGTCACTCCAGACCAGCCCTTGGGACAAGAGAAGCAACTGGCGTGGAACCGGGGTAGGAAAAGCAATAAGTTAAAGCCAAGAATGGCCCGAGGTCTGGCACGACGGGCGGGGGCGAGTCTCTGGCTTGACCCAGGAGGCCCTGGGGAGCAGGTGGCTGATGACAAGGTTCCAGGCAGGAGGTGGCTCAGAAGGTGGGGCTGTCGATGCAGCTGCGCACCCCGGCGTGTTCTTCAGGCCTGAAGCTGTAGGGAGGGGGTGGCTCCACGGGAGGCAGACCCACGACGGCCTTCAGGATAATCTGCAGGGAAAGGAGGGGACAGAGACTTCTTAGGGCCTGCCACTGGCCACTGCCACCCATGTGCTGGTGGTGGCATGTTTACCAGGGAGAAGGGTGACCCGACGCTGGTTGCAGAGCCCTCCCTAGGGCCCAAAGGCTTGGCGTAAGGACACCCTCCACTGACCCCGTTGCTCTAAAAATCTGAATGGGGAGGCACAGAGAGCCGAGGGACAGGGCAGGGGTTGGGGTGGATACCAACCTCGCTGTAGGGGGGTGGGGGCTCACAAATGGATGCTGTGACCCTCTCTGTGGGAGTAATGGGGGGCCGTTCTGGGGGCCCCTCATGATCCATTGGGGGGTCCCGCTCCGACTTTCTGCAGTTGCGACAGAAGCGCTTAGCCAGGCCACAGAGGCACAAGAGGGGCATGATGATCAGAAAGACGACGACAAAGATCCTGGGGTAAGGAACCACCAACGTCAGCCTGAGTCTCCAGCCATCCCCGCTGCACCTCCCTCCCTCCCCTGACCTACACCCACCCCTCAGCAGGAAGTCCAGTCCAGTCCTGGGTGGGCCAGAGGAACCGGCCCAAGGCTCACCTCAAGGGGCCAGAGAAGAGCTGGAACTGCTCTGGCTGGTACTCTTGGCAGCAGCTGTTACCACAGCAGTTGAACCCTTTAGGGCAGGTGCTGCGGACCGGGTCAGAGAGAGGCTATTGGTACCAAGGTGCGGAGGCCGAAGGATCCCAGCTTCCCTAAAACTCACCCATGCGCTCAGGGCACGAGCCACACCCCTAGCAGGGTGGAGGTACAGGCCCCCTGGGCTCAGTGGGAGGAACCTGGGGCTGGGATCATGACCTGGGTTTCAGGCTCAGCTCACTACTGGCCTCATGCACTCGTGCCAAGTCACAGTCCTTGCTGGGCCTCACTTTCCGCATCTGTAAGATGGGTGTAATGAAGGTCCTGTCGACCTCACTGGGCGGGTGTGGGGACTGACTGTTGTAGTGGCTACAACATCGCTCTAAGGAGATGTAGACGAAGAGGGACAGTGGAGAGGGGCCAGGAGCTAATTCCAGGAAGAGTGAGCTGGTGCTGGTGGCCACGGAGCAGGAGGTGGGAGGGACACGGTGTCCCTGGAACATCCAGGGCTGACTGCTGGAAACACTTGGCTGCCCAGAGGCCACCCCCCTCAGCCCCTCCTCATCGTGCTTGGGTTTCTCAGCGTTTATAGAGCGAGAGTGTTTGCCCTAGCTTCCAGGGGGACCCTCAGAGGGGAGGTGGCCTAAGGCTGGCGTCAGAAGGATGGGGATTGGCCCGCAAATGTGAAACTGCCCGTGGATAGGCTGCCGGAAGGAGTGAGGGGCGGAGTCTCCCCGTCTGGGTCGGGGTATGGCTTCTGGCTAGAAGGGGAGAGGGTGAGGATGATGAAGGCAGGCAGGGCAGGATCTGGGATGTCTCCTCCCCACAGTGGAAGTTACAGCCCAAATCCCAGACTTACAAGAAGAGACCACATGTGGCTGCAGCCTGTGGAAGGAAAGAGGCGGAGGTCTGGGTCATAAGCTGGGGGCTGGGGTTTCCACCAGGTGCTGCCCAGGTACCTCACTGCTAGCAGGTCCCAGAGGATCCGCATCTTCCCCCACACCTGCTCTCCACCTCCCTCCACATGTTCCCCGGGTCGGTGGCTGCAGCCCCAGCGCCACCTCGTGGCCTCAGCTCTCCTTCCTCCCCTCACCACACCTCCTGCCACATTTGCTCACCCCCAGGTCTGTAAGCTCACGCCTTCTGACCACCCTTCCAACCCATCCCCACCACGGCCAGGACTCCAGCAACCCCCGCGCCCACCCCGTCACTCCCAACTGCTGCAAGTTTCTATCCCACACATCTGAACACCTAAAACCTTGCTGGAAGCCTCCTTCAGTGGCTCCCTGGGGCCCAGACACCATGACCAGCCCTATCCCCCATTCCCACTCCCCCTGGCCCTCCTGCACACCCACCCACTGGGAGCTCTCTGAACACGTCTGGCTGTGTTACACATGCCTGCAGGAACAAGCTCCTCCCTCCCTCCCTCTTTAGCACTAGTTCTGTGCCACATGGAGGCTATCATTACGGAATTTAACCTGATTAATAGCAAATATGTGCGTAAGCCCTGCTTGGAAAGTTCTTTCCCCAGGTATCTGAGAGGCTGGCTCCAGCACCTTCTCTGACCATCTTACTTAAAATTACATCTACTCCCCCAAAGCACTCCCTTTCCCCTAACTGTGCTTACTTTATCTGCAGAGCTCTTGTCCACATCTAACATACTATATATTTTACTTTATCTTGCTACTTGTTTGTCTCCTCAGTAGAATGTAAACCCCGCCAGGGGAGGGATTTTCGTCTATTGAAAACCAATACTCACGATTTTGCCAGACTGAATGAAAGAGCACTGACAACCTGGTTTCATTTCATCCTGGCTGCTCCCAGACGGTGGGGGAGGAATGCAGGTAGAGGAACACAGCAAACGGGAGGTTATCTGTCACCCCACCCCAGCCTCCAGGGAGATAAACAACCATGGCTCAAGAATAAGAAGCCAACTTTGGTGAGACCACCATGTCTTTTTTTTTTTTTTTTTGGCCGCGCCACCAACATGCAGGATCTTAGTTCCCTGACCAGGGATCAAACCCGTGCATTCTGCCGTGGAAGCGCGCAGTCTTAACCACTGTACTGCCAGGGAAGTCCGAAGACCACCATTTTTATATTTCAAGGTATATTTTATACCTTGAAATAACAGTTCAACTGTTAACGACAATAACAATAAAGCTAAGAATACCGATGACAGCCAATAAGATTTGGGCTGATTCCCACAAGTCTTGGCCAGTGGGCTCAAGAGCAGGAATGAACCCCTGCAGGTTGGCCCAGAGAGGGTAAGGTGACTGCAGAGTTGGGGACAGCCCAAGGGGTCCAGGCACTCAGCGTACCCCCTTTCCCTCAGATCCCATCCCCTGTCCCTCCCCCTTCTCCTGGCCCCCAGCTAAGAAAGACAAGCAACGAACAGGTTTACGGAATTAATCCTGAGCTCCTGTTTGGAGGAGTAGGGGATCCTCTCCCAGATCCTCTTCCCCCACCCCCATTTTAAACAGGTGGTGGTCTCGACTGAGGTGGTGTCAAGCGTTGGGGTAACCTTGGGTAGTTTCAACTTACTTACATGCGGACTGGGGGCATTAACAGCCTGCCGCCTGGAGTTGCTGGGAGGAATCAACAAATGCTCAACCTAATGCTGGCACAAACCCACCGCTGATGATAGAGAAGGAGTAACAGGGCTTCTGGAGCAGAGCCGCTCAGCAGGCAGTGAATGTCGTGGGGGGCAGGCCTGGGCCTTCCCTCAGACTCTTACACAGAAGTTAAAAACCCATGTTCTAGACCTATGTCAGTTTCTAGGATAATCTCCCATCCCAAAACTGGATAGACTGCCCCCATCACTGGGGCAGGGGGGGATGAGGGGGTGTTGAAACCCTGCCTCATCCTCAGAAATCACAGGTTTCAGAGGTCACCCCAGCCTCGGGTCAGGCAGCCAGGTCAAATCCTATCACCAGCTGGAATCCTACCCCCACTCCTAGAAAGGGAAGGGGGAGCCTCCTTTCCTCTAGGGCACAAGCAGAGAAACACAGTCCCAGAGAGGGCTAGGACTTCCCCAAGGTCACCCAGCACTGTGAAGAATGGAGCTGGGGAGATAGGCTGACCAGGCATCCAGATCTCAGTCCAGACCTCAGGCCCTCCGCTAGTCCCCGCTTTCTGACGCAGCGAGAAGGAGCCAAGGCTAACATGAGGGTCAAAGTCCCCAGTCACCAAGAGGAGCTAAGTGTCAGATGGCGATGGGCGCGAGTAGTTCCCACGACACAGTCCCCCACGAGATGAAGGAACCCAGGCCTTCTCAGGGCCTCCCTCTGCTCTTACCTCCCTGGCAAAAAGAGAAAGGAAGTTGCTAACTGCATGTGGTAACGAGGAAATCCTGACAGTGGAAGGTGGTGATCGGGACCCAGAAGCAGGCCCCTGACCCACAAGAGTAGGGCCCCGAAAGTTCCACAACTTTACCTCCCAAGCGCTCACCTGTTGGAGGCCGGCCAGCAGGCCGAGCAGCAAGGTGGGTACTAGGCCAGGCACCCAGGTGGCTGACATCCTGGCAGGGGGGCCACTGAGCTTCCGTGTGTAGGGGGAAGAGGGGAGAGGCGGGGCCGAGACCTCTCCCACGACTCTCCACCTATAGGGCCCCGCCTCGGGATGGGGGCGGAGCTGATGCACCGGGGTTGGGCCGGACCGGGAAGGGAGGGAGAGGGGAGGGGGGGGGGGGGGGGGGGGGGGGGGGGGGGGGAGGGGAGGGAAAGAAGTTTGGGTTGGGTTTTGGGAAATGGGAGGTAGAAGAGAGTATCTGATTAAAAAATATTGTGGCGTCAGTTTAAGACTGCTGAGCTACCCCTTCCCAACCCTCAACTGCTCCACCCTCTAAGTGATCCCAAGCTTGAGAGGGACTGCTGCGCCTACCAGATGGACAGAGGATGCAGGCAGAGGGAGCTGGACCACTGGAAGTTCCTTCCCACATGGACTTCTGGGGGGCAGAAGTTGAGGGAGAGAGGAAGCGAAGGCCCTGGAGTGGATTGAGGGGATTACAACGGAGGGAGGTGTCACTTTTTTAAAAAAATTTTTTTGGCCAAGAAGGGAGGGAGGGGCGGCCTGATTGATTTCTGGGTCAGGAGAACCTAGAGTAGATCACTAGTACATTCGTACCCCGCCCCCACCCTCCCTGAAATCCTGGAAGGAGGTGTTGGTACACTTCCTCCACTTGACTACAGTGGAAATTAAGGCCCCAGGATTCAGAGACTAGTGCCTGAGTCCGCAGCTGGGGCCGAGCGGCAGCCAGGCGAGCTGGGGCGCGTGCAAGCAGGTCCATCCAGATTTCTGGAGAGGCCCCGCGGACGCTGTCCCGGCCGCGTGGGGCTGGATTCAGCCCAGCGGCGGCCGCGCCCCGCCCCGGAGGCGTGCTGTGCTTCCCGGATCCGGCCGGCAGGTGGCAGCATCGCTCAACGCGGGCTTCCCCCGGAGCCGGGCAGCGCGGGGCTGGGACCTGGGGCTGGGTCTCCCTGGGCTCCCTATGGGGGGACCGTCTCGGTGGGCGATACGCGAAGGGTGAGAGCCAGACGCCCAGACACAGATGAGACGTAAGGAGACCTTGTGGGAGTTGGAGAGATGGAGCCCGGACCCTTGAGGACGGGGGCGAAATGGAGATGGTGGGTGGGGTGCTGCTCCCAGACCTGGGGAAAGGGGGAGGGCTCCAGGAGAGGATCAGTTCTTAGGTATTTAGACGTCTCCTGCTGCGTCTCAAACCTGACTTTGCCACTGAAAGCTAGCCCCAACCTAGTAAGAAAGGACAGCCGTCGTCCTTTGGCTTCTTTTTCTTTTTTCTCTCAGCGCTTTCTCCTTATCTCTGTTTCTCATCTCTCCCAGTCGTGTTTTCTCGGTCTTATGTTTAACCTCTCCTTGGTCCGCCCCATTTCTCCCAGTCTCTGTTTTCCTGTTTCAGTTCCTCCCCATCTCTGTGTCCATGCATTTTCTCTTCATTTCTACATGTTCCCTGTTTTCCCATCTCTGTTTCTCCTCTTTGTTAATCTCTGTCTGTCTCAGTGGAGGTGTCTGTTTTTCTGTCTCTGTTTCCATTTCCCTTGTCTCTGGTTTGGTCCTGTGTGTCCCTGTCTCTGTGTCTGTTTCTCACCAACTCTCCTGGTCTCTCTCTCTTTCTCTGTCTCTGTTTCTCATTATCTCTTGGCCCCTAAGGACAGAATCTTCCAGTTTCCTGATCCAAGCTGAATTGGGGTCTGGCCCCAGAGAATGCCCTCTCTATTGGAAGTTCCTGGTGACTGATCTTGGAGAAAGGATGGGGGGGGGCACGGCATGTCTTTCTTCCTCCCCCAGCGGTTGGCTCTGGACCTAGCCCACCCCTCTGCCAAGGTGGACCTAGTCCAGAGAGTACTGGAGCTTTCTCCTAGCAGCACCCACGCTGCTGCTTCCTTAGTGAATTTGTTGCTAACTTGGGCTTCCAGGGCCCTGCTACACCAACACCCAAGACCTGAGACACCCCTAACCTCCTGCCTCTCTGCCCAGGCCTGGAGCCCTGTGGAGGTGTGGCCCTTAGGGGAGAGGAAGATGGGTGAGCTTAGGGGAGGAGGGTATCCTAAGGAGTGGAATGAGGGTGCTGAGAAGGGCATGGAGGACCTTGAGGGGTAGATGTGGGAGGCTGAAGAGGTGAAGGGACGAGGCAGGTTGGTGCCCTGAGGAGGAGGGCAGCAGGATGGCGCTTCTTCCTTCAGGCGTCCACCGACACAGATGTAACATTGCCAGACAAAATACCGGATGCCCAGATAAATCTGAATTTCAGGTAAACAGTGAATAACTAGTATAAATAAATATGTCCCATGCAATATTTGGGGCATACTTATACTAAAATGTATTTGTTGTTTATCTGAAATTCTAATTTAACTGGGTGTCCTGTATTTTTATTTGTTAAATCCTGCAACCCTACCCACATCCCTAAAATGTCATAAGAGAATAGCTACTCTATCCTCTGCCCCACATCTCCCCAGTGGGAAAATGAGGCTCCTGGGCAGAGTCCAGAGGGCCTCTGGAATCTGCCTCTGGATCCCCAGTTTTTTTATGACATCAGACTTCCTTTCTGCGCTCCTTCCTGCAGATGGGAGGTGGGCAGTCCCAGCTCAGGCCAAGAACACCAAGCCCTGTTGCCAGTGTCACCATGGCTCCCAGGGCCCCAGCATTCCTGGTGGGTGAGGTCGGGTGGGGGTGAGGGCACAGTGGGGCCCCAGACTGAGCAGACCCGGGGCCTGTTCTTGTCTAGAGGCAGGAGGGTCCTGGACAAGGACAACATCTGTTCAACACTCAGTCTGGCAGTGGGTGGGCAGTGTGTGCTCGCATGTATGTGTATGCTCAGACATCCAGGGACATATGGGCAGGGAGGCCCAGAGACCTCATGCAGTCAGTGGGTCCTTCTAGATTCCACTCCAGATCCCATCTGGGGTTTCCCCGAAGCAGCAAACTTGAAATGTCTTCCTACTGGCTCAAGCCTCCCTGGCCCATTCCATAAAGAAGGAGCTGATTGTGTGCCCTACAAGGGCCCAGCTGCAAGGGCCTTGGAGGTCAGCTGGTCCACCCGCTCTCATCTCAGAGAAGCCAGCTGGAGCCCAGAGGGGCAGAAAGGCCAAGTCACAGGGGACACTGGGGCTGAGTCAAAACCAAACCACGCAGGTCTTAAGACCCCACACCCAATGGCACCCTCAGAGGCGGCACACGTGTCGGGGCTGGGGAGCTGCTGCTTGGGATGGAGGAACTCCTCACTGGAGTGGGAGGCCTTGTGCAGCCTGGCTCAGCCCAGGCCCAGGGGCCGGGTGCTGGGGAAGGGGCAAGAGTCAGGCTGAGTTCTGTTCGTCTCAGCCCCCTCCCCGCCATACTGTGGTGGACCCTGATACCCATAAATGACTCATGGTGCTGGGCTGGGATCTTTCCTTCCAAAGTCCCCAGAGTGTTCTGCCGTAAGCTGGCTGTCCGTCTGCAGGGACAGTGTTAGGGTGTGTTAGTAAGTGTGCCACTTGCTATGGTGTGCGGGGTGATCTTAGTCAAGAAAGCAAACTTCTTTGTGCCTTTCTAAACTCATCTGTGAAGGGGGTGCGGGGGTGGATAACAGTACCTCCCTTGTCACTTAGGGTCATCGTGAAGATGAAGGAAGTGGCTCAGTGTCTGGCATATAGTAAAATGGTAAATAAATATTACCTCAGTAAGAATAAACTACGATAGCCAAGACATGGAAGTAACCTAAATGTCCATCAGCAGATGAATGGATAAAGATGTGGTGTACACACACACACACACACACACACACACACACACGCACACATACACACAGTGGAATATTACTGAGCCATAAAAAAGAACGGACTAATGCCGTTTGCAGCAACATGGATGGACCAAATGTTATCGTATTAAGTCAGACAGAGAAATATAAATATCATATAATATCACTTTCATGTGGAATCTAAAAAATTCATACAAATGAACTTATTTATAAAACAGAAATAGCCTCACAGACATAGAAAACAAACGTGGTTACCAAAGGGAATAGTGGGGGTGGGGGGGAGAGATAAATAGGAGTTTGCGATTAACACATACATGCTACTATATATAAAATAGGCAGACAACAAGGACCTACTGTACAGCACAGGGAACTACTCAGTATCTGGTGATAACCTATAATGGAAAAGAATCTGAAAAGAATATATATGAATCGCTTTGCTGTACACTTGAAACTAACACAAAATTGTAAATTAGCTGTACTTCAATAAAAGAAAAACACACAGAAAATAATAATAAGCAATAAATGTTTCAGTTCTGGCAGAGGAAAAGGGCCCAAAGCTTTCTCTCCTTATTTCACATGGAGGCAGAGAATGAGGTGCCAAGGATTAACGGTCTTGCTTCCCTCTGAGAATTGTTCTCAGCCCTTCTGGATGGGCCACCCAAAGTCTAGCTCCAACTTCCCCCAGATGCCCTGCTCGCTAGCCCCCTCTGCTGTCCATTAAGTGCTTTGGGCCCCACCCAAGGGCCAGGTCAGAGGCAGTGGGATGGGTGACCAACCACAGAGGATGACCTTGTGTGGACTACTAGAGGGCCACAGGGGACCGGATATGGCAGTGGTGCTGGGTCCAGAGATTTGAGCAATTCCCTCTCTTCCTGGCTTGTCCCCCACTTCTGCTCCCCCAGCTGCCCGCTGAGCACTGCCTGGGCTGGCCTCACAGTGGCTGCCCCCGTCGCCCTCATGGGGGCGTGATGTGCTCATCACAGTTGTCCCCCTGCCACTGACTGCCCCCATCCAATGTGGCTCCCCAGGGCCATCAGGGCTGTCCTCAAGGCCTCCATCCTGGTCTCCTCCTTGCCCCTGTGGGGGCATGTCACCCTCTTATTCCCTAACTTCCAGAGGCTCCCCACTTCTGCCTGAATAAAGTTCCATCTCAGGGAGACCTTCACCTGAGATGGGACCTTGGATCCTT